GTTCCCTCAGACTTTCCCTTAGCGGAGTAACAGCAGGCGCTAATACAGCGAGACAAAGACACTAGCTCTCTTATAATGTGTGTTAAATCAGCCTCATAGCCATGAGCTGGACAGCAGTGTCATCAAATACCAGCCTGCTGTCATCAGATCAGGTTATCCTATCGTTCACTCCGTTTATTGTATCAGCATAATATTTACACTGTGTGTGCTACACCGTCAGCTTCCCTGGGAATTAAACACTGAATGGATCACAACACACTCGGATACGTGCATGTGTGTTTTGCCTCCACTCTATACGTTTAATTCCGCACGTTTGGAGCAGCCAGTGCTACCATGGCAACTCACGTCTGGGCTTTTGCAAGCTAGTGTGGGAGCAGCAACACACACACACACAAAACCCAGGCAACTAGCAAGACTGCTGTGGAATACTTAAAAGTAGGAGAGCATTGACATTCTGGGAATACTTGCTGAGCACTGCAGCGGTTTAGACCACTGCCCAGGAATGAATGGGCGACTGGGTGGGGTTTGTAATGGCTACTGGCCAAGGTGATAATAGCTGTGTCTGTGTGCGAGTGTTCGCGCCTGTGTTCAAGAGCATTGTGTTTATAGCATAACAAGGAGTAGGCAGAAATGATAAGCCACTGTCTACACACATGCACGCGATGCCTACCCCGTCCTGAAGCATATTTCATCATTAACTTTAAGCAGTTAATCCTCTGCTCCACTGACCACAGCTCAGCTCAGCCCATTTCAATAATCTGCATCTGGGGCTAACCAACCTATCATACACACACACGCACAGACAAACGCATACACACTTGCAAAACAATGACACAATCAACCCGTAAAACATATGGGACTGGTCCAGCACAATAAATATCTCAAGAAAAATCTCTCACACCTGCACACATCTATCTTCACACAATCTATTGTGCTGACAGAAAAGCCAGCTAGAAAAAAAATGTTCATTTATTAGACGAGGATACCGTAGACAGATAGCAAAGGGGAGGGGAAAATCCCATTGCTGGAGAGATGGGTAATGAGACAGTCAAAGCGCAGTAGGCTGTATTGCACTTGAACAGAAATTGACAGGGGTTGAGTCAAAAGTGAGAGTTTGACCTTTCCCTTTCCAGCAACAAACATTAACCATTCGGTGTTGAAATTGACCTGTTTTTTGCTCATGCAATCTCTCCTGACAACTTTAAATGACAGATCTCCCAGTTTCTATGCAACTCCTCTCCTGCAAGAAGCTATAGCTTTGTAAACTATCATTTATTCTCCATCGCGTATCCCTCTCTTTTCATTTCCTTGTTCCCTTATCAACAAAATTCTTCTTGGATCTTCTTCTTTGTTTTCTCTGTGTCTTCCCACCTCCTCTTTTCTTCCATTTTCTCCATCTGACTGGGACAGATTGAAATGTAGAGGCAGGAAAAAGAGTGCTAGCTGCCTTTTTCCCAAATTCTGTGAAAGGCTTTGATTGAACTATGCGTGCATCCAGTATCTAGGACAGAGAGCTTTTCCAACCTTCGCATGTACTGCCTCACTCATTTTTCTGTTCCTTTCCATGTCAAGTTCAAGGTTAGCTGCTCATTGTATTGAGTGCCAATGCTCCCCCATTGGGACGGACAGAGGGGAGATGCATTAGCACCTCGGCAGGTGGCCTTCAATCTCATCTCTCGACTCTCTTTTCCCTCCACACGTTCTTCTTGTCCCCTAGTCCACCTCTCGAACCATGGCCCCATGGGGATACCTGGCCAGCCTTTGTCCAGTAGTGTGTAGATTGACTGCTAGGTGTGGGTGCAAGAGTTCACTGATGCATGTGTGCATGCTTATCCCGATTCAAACAATAAGGTGCAACGTGTGAGTATCACCGATGTGAACCTCTTATGTGTAGTAGACCAGATGACCATGAACTAAACCAAAGCCTGCAGGGGGTTAAGGTTTTCCCCTTGACCTGCTGGTGTCTACTGGCCTGCAGTAAATGGGTTTAAACCTTACCCCAACCACAGCCTTTTATCTCCATCATATCCCCATCTCCTCCTCAAGCCACAGGCCAATGAGCACACAAACTGACCGACAGACTGGCTGAAGGAAGCCATATGGTCCATTCACTTCCACTAGCAGGAGGTAGCCATCAAAGAGCTTTCACAGCAATTCAATTCAGAACATACAGAGGGAGTGAGAGAGATGAAGGGAAAAGGAAGAGGGAACTTATTAAGAGAAGGGCAAACAGAGGTGGCAATAGGGAGTGAAAGCAAAGAAACAAGGAGAAAGCAGTTGCAAGTGTGCTGAAGAGTGCAGAGGAAATGCAGCTCTATAATAATAAAAAAAAAAACATGGAAAAGGTTTCCAAGTTTTACGTTTTGTTTGAGACAGTAAAAGCCAAGCATGGCTGTAGTTGTGGGCGTATACAAAACCCCACTGTTTAATAGTACTGCTTTCTATATGATAACATGATGGTGTTATCAAAGTCCACTCACTCTAGACTCTGTCAAAACAGACTTTAGGCCATACAGCCACTTAGCATTAATGGGCATCTAAGGCAAGTGCTGATTTGTGTGAATGTGCTTTAATGTGTGTGCCCTTTACAAGCATAGAACCTGTATATGTTAGGAATATGAGTGCGAAGTGAGAAATTCAAGCTCGCCCTTACATCTTAAAAGAACTGCCACAGAGAAGGAAAAGAGTAAAACTGAATACTGGAAAACCTTACTCTCCAGACTCTGGTCACCTGCAACTGATCTCCATTTTAGTTTGAAGTTAAGGTAGAGTTCGGTTAGTTGTGCATTGTCTTAGTTCAGGATGAGTTTAAGGGCTTGATGGCATATCTACGTCTGTACTCTGATCCGCAAGCCTCACATTATGCTAGCAAAATTTTATTCTAACCTCTATTACATTAAAGTATTTCACAGGCAAATTGAATTTAATTCACTCAGTGCCCTGCCCAGCTCAACGTCATGATGCCATAAACGTGAGCCTGTAAACACTAACATTTAGCTCACCGAAACGCCACTCCATTAAACCCGATCCACTCTCTTTTACCGTAAATGCTTATATTTACTCTGGGTGATGTGTTAGTCACAAGATCATAAATAACAGTGAAAAAAAACTGAGACTGAAAGACAGTCTGTGAGTGAATCCCAGAAGAAGGAGGAGGGGGCTGAGGGGTGGAACAAGTGAGGTGGGGGAGTGTGTATAAATCAACATCCATTAGCCGAGGGGTTATAAAGTCACTGATGAAGGAGGTGGACTGAAGTTCAGACTTTTTATTGTCTTGTTGTTGTCTTTTATTGCCTGTGATGTCATCTAATGGTATACAGTTAATGACATGGGAGGGGAAGTATATACATGGGAGGGGAGGATGTGGCTGTAATAGCCCAATGTGTGTACAACTGTGTTGACACAGAGTATTGATCACCTTTGTGTGTTAGGTTTTGGAGGGTTTTTTTTCTTTTTGCCTGAATATAATGAATCTGAACAATCCTGCAGACGGGATTCATACAGGAATTTAGTGGAAGCACTATAATATAAACATTATAGAAGAAATAGCATTCAATTTGCCTGTGTGTATTAGCAGAAGACCTTTCAGCACTGGGTCCACATTCTGATCTCAGTAGTATCTTTGTTTCCTCTGTTTTTCATTCTTCTACTGTCATCACACAAACGCTCTTCCTCCTTTTATGACTTTCATTTCTGGAATATAGCTCATCTCTGTTCAGCCCCTGCTGCTCAACCCTACCTCGCTTCCCTCACTCATCTCTCCTGTGCTCCTCTCCTTCCCCAGGCCTTTAAGACTCACTGGCCTAACCGCCCTCTAGAATTAGTCTCAGTCATGGCCTTATAATACATATGTGCGTGTGTATATGTGTGTGTGAATGTGTGGGGAAGTACAGTGAAAGTACAGGTTGCTACCAAGTTCTATCACACCTAGCAGCAGTGCATCATCCCATTAACTCTGAAAAGGGCTACCACACGCAGGAGGGCACAGGGGCATGAAGGGAGTCTAAGGTGGTAACCACAACACTCCAGAGCCCAGCTTATCCAGTGCTGTTTAACTCTGAGGAGACAAATCTTGTTGAGTTAGGGGCTCTTCTGTCACACAGAGTGTGACATGTTCTTCTAAGACAAACAGTTATGGTCACAAAGACACTCACAAATGCCCTAGTTAAAATAATTCTAGAAATTTTTAGAGAATATTTTTGTAACCTAGGATCATTACTACAACATTCAGTTACTACACACACAGATGTGAGAAACCCTAAATTATAAAGGATGGGAGTGACTCATAGTTCCTTTCATCATCAGGCTATGAATTTGCCTAAATTTCTTAATAAATGATGTATTTAATTTTATTCTGATGACTTAATTTGCCTCGAGGAAGAGCTAAGAAACTTCATCCAATCAATTCTGCAACATGCTGATCTGGGCTGTCTAGCAACTTCTGCAACATGCTGATGTGTGCTACAATCGGCCCCCAGGGCTCTGGATTTTATACAAGTCCAAAGTGAGGGAAAAGTACAGCGGATACCACTGATACAGGCGAATACGAGTGTATGTGTGATATATGGTGCAGTGGATGAGGAGGATGTTGAGAGATACCAGATAGGCTTTACTGTAGGAATAAACCCCCAAAGGGGCACGCCTGATCCCCTTTCCTCAAAACACACACACACACACACACACGCACGCACACACGCACACACGCACACACCACACTCGCTTTCTCTCTACCCTGAAGTACACACACTTCCTCCATCCGCTCTCCCACCGTTTTATGTACACACCTACACACAAACACACACGTCTCTTCTACTGCGAATACAGCTGAGTCAGCTGATTTGCCTGAAAGTCAATCTGCCTTGTTACTACTATCCTTCCTCCAATCCAGTAGTCCCCAATTCCCAGCCCTTACTCTACGTTCTAACTGAGAGAAAGCAAATCTCTCCCTATATCAATTTAACCATCTGTGCTATCTTTCAACCTATATTTGTCTCCCTTACCTTCTTGACTTGACCGCTTTTTGTTCCCACGAAGACCAGTGAGTGGTTCTTGTAGACGTAGGCAATGACTGACGACATTTTGTCAACGGCGTCAGAAAAGAGAGGCTTGCCTCTCACCATCTCAGAGACGCCCAATGGAGCATTCATGTCCAGGCCACAAAAGTCGTCGTCAATGGTCAAGAGCTGCAAGGAAAACAACAATTAGCACAATCAGATTTTGAGGTGCTCATTTGGCAAACTCCTATGAATTCATATCTTAATTTCTCGTGAGAACAAAAATACAACATCTGACTGTAAAGGGTATTTCTATAAGGGAAGATGAGCAGGGTGGAGAAACATTTTGGATGTGAAAGATAATCTCTGACCATTGGCTGGCCACAAGATACAGCAAATGTGGGGGGGAAAAAAAAGAAGAGACTGCAGTCAGCCTCAAGTTCTGTAATAATGCCAGAGGCTGCTCTGTCAGGCACAATTCCCTACCGTCCACCCAATGCAACAGCAACTGTAGAAATGCCTGTGCGGCAAGATATCCAATGTGAAGTGATTCAACGTGAACTGAGTTTAAAAAAAAGAAAAAAAGGAAAAGCAGTGCAGCATTATCACAGGGCTGTGAGGCAAAACACTGCAATGCATTTAAATATATATAGAAACTGATTTAGAGCAGGGAGAACTACAACTCTAGACGAGGTTCTTCTGTTACGCTTTCAGTGTAGACAAGCCGCTGTGATTTTGTAATTACATGTAGATAGGTGTGCTTCATGTCCTATGCCTCTCTACACTTTATGTTTGCATGTGTTTAATCCTGTCAGCTGGTATATTTTCTGCAGTCACAGTGGGCAGAATGACTTATAGGTTTTGATAAGAGAACAATGGCGTGGTGGATTGGTCATTATTCGGAGCGCATGGGTTGAAACGCTTTTTTTCCAGTTTAGGACTGAAGCAGCCACTGCTTGATTAATCGCTTCGTAATGTCGTGGTTTGCTGCAGGGTGAAATGCAAATGCACGTGGTACCGCTTTCCTTAAAAAGAAAAGAAATTATCAAAACCATCAGTAAATTTCATTGTTCATGATAGCCACACTTTACTGTATTGACTGTATCCTGAAAGGTCAGCCATTAATTGTGCAAATAGATTCACTTCTTTGACACCAGTGTCCTCACCAGAGTCGACAAAAAAGTAGAGCAATGCCTTATAGTCAATCCACACTAGCTGTGCACTGGTAATTGTACCGCTGGAAAAGTTATTTGGTAATAAATCCAAAGGTGAAGCACCAGATTCAGCTACATTTTGCTGGACGGTTCTTTGAATGTCAAAAGGAAGCTTGTTAAATGCAATATAAATGTACACTATTAGTCCAGCATTAATAATTGGCAAAATGAGGTTGACAGCATAAAGTTAACGTTACCCGAAATTATTCATTTAAAATCAAAAAGTTTTCATAGTAAAATAGCAAAAGGATTATCCTGGCATGCAACGAAAATCCAACTGAATTTTCAAATCTAGAAGTGTGAACTGTCAGGTGAAGGTCCCTTTGATGGGCAGAGTCATCCTTTGACCCATTTTTCCATTTTTCTTACTGGAAGTGCACCCTGTGGGCTTTCGAGAAATCCTGCAACTACTGGGTGTCTCCAAACAAGCTGTCACTAAAGGCCACCATCATCATCAGAAGCCTCACACCAAGCCAGAGTGGAAGTGTGGGATCTGCTTTCATTAGACAAATGGAACATGGTTGCTCTAGGCCGCAAGCCTCGGGCTATAAAGTGGGATTGTATAGAGCGGTAGGAACGATCGATAGAGATGACCTGAATTTAGGTCAAGATCATGCCATATGGTTAAAGGGTTGAGATAAGGATAAAAAGGGACAGGAAGAGTGACAGAAAGAAAAGGGGATAAATGATATATACCAATAAGACAGAGATGCCAAAGAATCTAAACAAAGATGAATATCGGAGCACAGTGAAAACATACAAGTAGAAGACTTTCTCCCTTTGTTTTTTTCCTCTTTTCTCGCCTTTCCTGACATGACCTTTTCAGAATGAGAGGCTGCCAAGAATGCACTCCCTGTCCTCTAAGTCATGTGGTAGCACTATGCTAGACTAATGGTGCTCCAATGAAAACCAGGGTCATTCCTTAAAGGGTCAACTGCCACCCTTCAAACCCCTCCTATTTTTCTTCAGTAATGTGTAATGCAGCTTCCTTGCATCAATTTGTACTACTATTACTCCTCATCTATGTGACAGGAAGAAAACACCCTCTAAATGCTGCATCATGCTTGGGTTCAAAGGTTAACAGAGTCTATTAGAAGCAATATGGACTGTGCTTTGTAGAATTTCAGGCTTCAGTGATTAGAAACTTCCTTGGACAATGACTAAAGTGCAGCCACTCCTGCAAAGATTAATCATGTTTCATCAGTGCAAAAACATCATTCACATCTGTGCATCTGTGGGTGATGCATGTGGAAGAAGAGGATGTGTTTACGTGTAAAAAATAAAAATAAAAATGAGCATCTGTTTTATCATTTCTTCCCTCTAACGCACAATGACTTATTTTTCCTGGTTGCCAATCACCACTATCTCCATCCTCCACTTTGCAATCTAATGAAATACATTTTGTCTGTCAGTGCTTTCAGGAAGAAGATGCATTTTTATTACACAACCACCAAAAGTGGCAATTCTTACTGGCAAATAAATAACAATATATAGCTCATGAGACTGTCTGCCAGTGCCATCACTGCTTCTAACATGTTTTATTCCTCCTCTTTTTGTCAGCACATCTAATTTCTTCCCCTCGCATATTTATTAATTCTCAATGGACCTTCTTTTATAATGTGTTTCATCAAAGACAAGCGATCACCTTCGGTTCACTCAGTATGAGCTCACTCTTTATCCCAATATCTCTTCTTTTCTGTTAACAAATGAGTGACCCAAAACATTGAAGAAGTTTCAGTCCCTCCAAACATCTCAGTTCACAGGAATAGGAGGTCTTGGATTTAAATCAAATAGATGCACAGGTAAATATAGTTGAATATGTCTGAAAATGTGGTACCTGTTTGAATAATAGCAGGCTACTGTAGCTACTCAAAAGCCTCTAAAGTAAACAAACTAATTTCTTGCTCAAGCCTGGCAGGTAAGTCAGCCAGCATCCCACAGCGTAGCAACAGAGGAGAAAGATAGAGAGTTCCTCCCTAAAGACAGAGGGACAAGAGAGCAGAGTCTCTGTATTTGGACAGAGGCCAGGCACTGAGGCAGAATCAGGTCACTCTCAGCCATATCCATCTCTCTGCTTCTGTCCGCCTGCCAGCACCAGTACAAAGAGAGCTCTCTTCTGGATTGTGCAGAGGAATCAGTAGATACAGAGTGGAGAAAGAGAGAGGGGGCAGTGAGCGCACGCGGAAGCGAGAGAGTTGCTCAATGCGATTAGTGGGGGACTGAAAGAGATCCGCTCTCCAACGCTCTCTGATGTATGGCCTAATCTGGGCTTGCGCTGTTGTGAGGGCCCATTCCATCGGCTGCAAGTTCCCAAAGTTAATGGCACACATTAAACCACAGAGACGTTTACTTCATGTCACTTGTCACTACTCAACCACTAAAGGCTCCAAAGAAACAATTTCTTGCAAATTTAGCTTTTCTTTTTCATTGCGGTTATTATCCTGCTTCTGGCACTTTTAATTACTTCACCGATCAATCTATTTTTATCCCTGAACATTTGTTGACTATGATTAGCTTATTTTACTGTAAACCTCCTGATTATAACATGGCGACCATTCTCTCACAAAACAGCCAATGAAAATAAAGTATCATAGGAGTTGTTCTTTGCATAATTAGCCACTTGGATATCTGGTATTTTCCTTTTGCCCTACTGTGCTAAATGACTAACCTGCCAGGATGATTGGTGGCATTAGGGAATTATGTCATGACTAAGTGGGTTTGCAGTGTTTGGGTTTTTTGTTTTGTTTTTTGCAAGATAAAATGTCAACATTTGATTTTTCTATAATGAAACATTTTTTCCTGTATAGATCCTGCAGCAACAGGAGTTTTAGAGTAAAACACAGAACACTCACAGCTTACACTTCAATTTCAGTTCCTTATGAAAACTTGCAGTTCACCAATTGGAAACAATCTAAAACTTAGTTTTAAGTTTTTAAGGATTTTTTTTGGTATGATTGGGTCACTAGTAACCATTTATCTCATTTAAAAACAGACTTGTTCAGATCTCTGTTTATGTTTTGCAGTAGGAGCATTAACTGTAACTTACAGTAGTTCAGAAAGATGATGGTACTTATATCTTAGGCAAAATAGCCATCATTCAATATTACTCTCATCCTGTTAAAGAAAAACATCTTTATGACTAGAGTAGCCTAATGTGCACTATTCCCATTCCTAAGTCCAGATTCAAAAAGGGAGAGGCATTGGCAAGGGGCAAGCTAACGTCCAAAAGAAAAATATAATTTTCTACTAGAACCAAAACCACCAGGTAAAGTATATCTATATACACAGAAATCGAGAAATCTGTCAGTTTTGGAAACTGTCCAACCTTATGCAAGCTTTTTTGTTTTCTGATATTTGTTTCAGGCAGAATAAGTGAAATAGGAACTCAGCACCAAAGGGGAGAATTGAATTGCACAGCAAACAAGAGTTCAACACGTGGAAGTAAAAGTAGTGACCCAGAAACCTAATAATATGCATTAGCAGAGACAGGAAAATATATGGATAGAACAATTCAAAGGAAAGCAGGAATATAAACTCAAAAACTGAATTCATCTTCTTAAAAATAAATGTGCAGTGTAGTCGGAGTGAATCTTTCTGATGGCTGAGGTTCACTGCTTTTTGCTGCTTTGTTAAGGCATCTACAGGGCATTCCAAAGGAGACTGCTTTTTTTTTTTCAGTTCTCTGACTGAATCGTGATCAAAATTCAGTCTGAATGTACAGGTGTCGACATGGACTACAAGAGCTGTCACAATTAGGCTTATCTTCCTCTTTGTATAGGACCCTGGGGACTTTCTTGACAACCAGTAACAATGATTAGGACTGAAGATGAATAAATATGTACAGTGCATGAGTGAATACACCCCTGTGTAATATTACTTATATGTCAAATGATTCCAAATTGTATTGCCTTACAGTGATTGCATTTGATGTTAGAGAATGAACAGTAGGAACAAATTAAAGTATATTAAAATATA